GCAGGGGAGCAGGGATGAGTCAGCGGCGCGCTGATCAGACGAGAGGAGCTCCAGGTGGGGTTGTAATTTAGCGGGCAGGCACCTGCAAGTCAGCTAAATTAGGACCCCACCTGGAGCTCCTCCCACTGGACCAGCGCGCCCCTGACTCGTCCCTGCTCTCTCCGGTGATGTGATGATCGATCACCGGCACACGGACACAGTGAGTGAGGGCTGATTGGGGGGGGAGATTTATTAAGCAATTATATATGCATTGTCTGCACTGTATTAGCAGTATATACTACATATAGAGTATATACTGCTAATACAGTGCAGACAATACATTTACAATTATTGTAACATGATGATCTGTATGTAGCCCTGTACTATGGATCATTTAACCCATTCATGTTAGCAGAGGATCATTGTAAATGTATTGTTGCAGGCACTCTATATGTACATGTACTATATACTACATATAGAATGCACTGAACAATAGATTTACAATTATCCTCTGCTAATATGAATGGGTTAAATGATCCGTAGTACATGATATGTAGCCCTGTACCCCCTTTTCCACTTACAGAGCTAGGTTATTTTTCTTTTAAATAAATATTCATGTAATTGTATTGGTATCTATCTACCAGTAGCTGCCTCATTTCCCTCGGCTTATATTCGGGTCAATACTTTTTCCCAGTTTTTTGTGGTAAAATTAGGTACCTCGGCTTATATTCGGGACGGCTTATACTCGAGTATATACGGTAAGTCTTATCACAGAGTGACAAAGTGAGTACACATTACAGTACACTTGTTTGAGGGTTATAGTTTGCCATGTGCTTTTGCTTCTATAAAGCATTCAGTGAACCTTTTAATGTGAAGAAATGGAGTGTATCCGTGAACTGAACTTTATTTGCCACATGGTTAAGTATCAAACAACCTCCATCATTCGCCTCTCACCTTATGTCTAGACCTCATAATTGAATGGAGGTCTAGATTTAGTGAACCTTGTCATTTATTTATAAATTGAGGTTACTTATTGGCGTATTACACCAGTACTTTTTTTTTTTAATCAATGAACGTTATTCAAGTTGTGCCCCAGGGTTTAGCTGGCTCTATTATGCTGCGGAACTGGGGAAGAATCATCAAGAGCACTTAGGTACTTAAGTAGCCATAGGCTCCTTCTGGTGTCAATCACCCTTTAAGATGGAGAAAAGGGGCGTGGCCTACTGCAGGGCTGTGTGTGTCTATGGACACACACAATAGTGCCTCCATAGCAGCCACTTAGCTGATGGAGGCACCCGTGCAGGGGGCGGGGAGAGCATGCAGGGATCCACTAGAAAACGAGGAATAGAAGCTTTTTTGAAGAAAAAGATTTATAAGAAGGTGGGCCACCTAGATGGAAAAGTAAAATTAAAAACGAAGCTTTAATATCAATTTAAAGCTGAACTCTGTTATTCTTAAAAAAAATATGTTATTCTTCAAAAAAATACCTGAACAATGCCTGCATCCAAATCAGATTGTTCAGATATTTCGACAGCCAGCGGGGCCGACTGGCAAGATACTGAAGCTTGGCCCAGCGGGAGATTCTTCCATCCACACAGTTTAGCGTAGATGGAGGAATCCGTTACACTTTTTCCATCTGACCACAGAAAATCTGCAGATAATTGTAAGGTGTATGGCCAGCTTTAGACTGACCGCTTTGCATTACCTCCTCTCCACTAGGCAAGAAGGCAGTTCCCAACGGGGGAATAACTGGGTCTTGGGGGAGAGCCTGGAGCAAAATTTTCATTTAGTAATATTGCTCCAGTGAAAAGCTCATACTGGGGAGTGCTTTCTGTATGCATTGGTAAAAGAAAGGTTTACTTTAAATTACCTTGTTCATCAATGTAATAGTTCATTCGACATTTGTGTCAAGCAGAGTAATCTCAGTGCAGACATGGGCTATTAATTAGCGTCATCTCTTGGTGTGAGTTAAATTGGTGTGAGTTAAAATTAGTAAGAGGGCTACTTACTATGCAATGTTACGTTTTACCAATGTATTCACAAGGGATGAGCAAGTATTAGTACAATTTGCATATGCTCTGCTCCACTGCAGACTGTGAAAGTCTACAATAGGGCTGCAACCAACTAATCGATCATCGATAATGAGAATTGTGGTCAACAATTCTCATTATATAGTAGTTTATCTGGATCCCCTAGTTCTCTCCTCCCTACTGGGAGACGGTTTTTCATAGGCTCTGTGTCCCACTCAGATCACCACTGCTCCCAGCGGGGATCGGAGGGAACACAGACCCCTGCAGAGGATGCCCAGCAGTGAGGAGAGCTCCTCCCAAACCCATCCCCTCCCCGCTGGGGGGCAGCTGCATGTTTGTCTCCCCACCGATCTCTGCTGCACTCCCCGGCCTGTATCGGCAGTAGGGATCAGAGGGGATACAGATTGCAGCATCCGGCGCCCAGCAGGGAGGAGAGAACAGCTGTCAGCCAACGTCGCTGTGACTCTGCAACCCCCCACACATCTGCCCTGCAATAACCAGTCTGTTATTGGTTATTACAATAACCAATAGTAGGCTGGCTATTGTGCCCACCCACTGCCTGCTGTTAAACAGCAGAGGACGACCTGAAGGAGAACCTGTATACCTTTAGGTCCCTCCTCTGCTGATTGACAGCAGGCAGTGGGCTGGGGCAATAGCCAGTTTTCTGTTGGCTATTACAAACATTTCAAGTTTCAACACTCCATTTGTGTACTTAAAAAAACAAAAAAAAAACATCCTTAATTTAAAAAAACTGAAATCGGACAACTAATAGGTTATGAAAATAATAGTTACAGCTCTAGTCTACAATCTTTACATGAAATGGGGCACAAAAAAAAAAAAATCACCCTATAAGCAGATGTTCCAGTTAACCCTCCCTCAGTGCTGCCCTGTATCATCATAAACCACAGCTTGGCCATGAGGTATAGCAATTACACTGAATTTAGACAGGTTTGCTCATGCTGTACACATGTTTAAGCTGCAAAAAAGGTAAAATAGAAAATGGTACTTACGGGGTAATCTTTCTGTAGAGATGGAAGAACTGGTTCAGGTAGAGCTATAAAAAAAAAAAGTAAACATTTTATTCAAGCGTATAGTTTTTGTAGTACATCTATCAATTGATCATTTCTCCAGCTTGAAAATGTACATTGACTGGAACAAAACAAGTTCACTTCCATATGGCCCGGCTCCACCATATGACACATTGCTTGCACCCAGGTATCTGTTATGGATCTCCATGTACTTGTCATGTATCATGGTAACAGGAGGTGTTGAAGCAATTATTAATATAAAAGCTGTACCTTTCTGTAAAAGAACACAATGTTATGGCATCTATCCTGCCTATAAGGCTAACTTGTGGTATTTAAACATGGAGTTAAAAATAGGATTTTTCCTCGCCATGAAATTAATTTTCTTGCAGTCCATTGAGGGACATAGAAAATATTTTTCACCAAGTTATACTGCTGCCTACAGGAGGAGGACGGGACATAGGCAAACAAAAAACCTGTAGGCCGGCCTAAGAAAATCCATTCTACCATCAGTATGCCTCAGTTCACTAGCAAAGCAGCATCAAGAGCATGATTGTAAACAGTGGGGCAGACAACAAACTGGAATGGTTAGTCTGCGGGTACAGGGATCCTCTAGTAGATGCAGAGCAACACCGTTTGCTTTTACTAGAAGTTCCCTGTACCTGTAGACTAACCATTCCAGTTTGTTGTTGAATCAAGAAGAAATGGGGTCCCCATCCAGTGTCCTGCACCGGGTACTGAGATGTGACCGCGGTGCAGAACAAGGCAATGGAAAGTCAGTTATAGGGACACTATGGGCAATACTGGTGGCTTGGTGGAGTGGTAAACCACCAAGATCTCTAATGTCAATCCAAACTCCAAGCTGGGTGAAAGGCAGGATTTCAGAGACAGGGCCCTCATCATTACCACATGCTATTTTTCCCCGTGTCCCCATTGTTTCCCCTGTAGGCAGAACAGTGGCTTTGTAGTTAGCACTTCCACCCTGCAGTGCTAGGGTCCTTCGTTTAACTCCTAGACAGAACACTTTCTGCATGGAGTTTGCTTCCTGTGCATGGGGTCAAACGCCTCCCATTAAAAAAAAAAAAAATAATAATAATAGGTGTGTGTGTAGGCATGTGTGATTGTACTATCCATTCAGGTAGACACTGATGTTTGAACTGATAAAATTGACAGCTATGATGCAAAGGTGTTCCTTGATATCCTGAACTGAATCAGCATGTGGCTGTTTTTTACGCAAATGAGGACCATCAAAGTATTCATTGGGCTGGACACTGATGAATGAAGATCGGCCAGGACTGTCATGTCCTGGGGCAAGCCTGACCCCCTGCTGGTATTTACTTCCCACGCCTGTGTCAGCAAGGAAGCATATATGCTGGGATGGGGGCAAAGGATGGAACCTTCTTCCTGTGTAATCTTCTGCACGAACCTAGCTCACAAGAAGGAACAATGGTGATCTTGGTGACCTCTTGAACAGGACAAGTCTTTCTGAACTCTACAATCAAGAAGGTGATTCGCTGAGACCTCCTGGAGAGGAGTGGTCTGAGAACAGAGTGAATGAGAGTGAGAGAATGATGGTTAGCTGAAGTATCCTCACCTCAATTCCTATCCCTCCAATTCCCTTAATTGTAATTAGAATGTATGTATATCCCTACTTAATCCTAAATAAACCCAACACTTATTTAAGATTCAGTTGTTCATCAGTAATTTAAGGCACCCCCAAAGCAGAGCACATTCTACATGATCTGAATAGAAAGCACAGTAAGAATTGTTGGCGCTATAAAAATATATAAATCAATCGTTGGCAATGATCACTATACTACAAATCATGTCTGCTCAGCCCACAAATGGATTTTTACCAATAAAAAATCCCCTGGGCATTAGCCTGACCTATATAAGATATACAAGTCTGTCAGTTATAAGGTACCCATAATTTTTGTAATAAAATAGAAAGCCATTAATAAAATGATAAATTCTGCATGGTTAGACCTCCTTCATTTAAATGAGGTATTGTAATTTTAGCAGATGCTGAACAAGGACAATGCGGGTTTGCATCAAGATGTGAGAGGTAGCCAAGGACTCTGCAGAGATGTCTTCCCCCTCATTTTAGCCCACTCCCTGTTCATCTTTCCACAAAGCCCTTTCGCCTCCTGTGTATGGCTAATCATGCAAACAGTGTCTTTCTTCACTAATGATGACTGTTCTGCTGCAGAGTCAGTTAACAGCTGTGAGTAACAGTCAGGCCCACAGGGAAAAAAGGATCAGACTCAGCCCACACAAGACCCAGTCAACACACTCTTCACTTTCCAGACAAAGCTCTGCACAGAGTGAGATCACCTGCTGTGCACATTCATCTACCAAAGCACCATCAAAGAAGAAGAGTTACTTACTTTGTAAATAGTGCAAAACCATTAAAACAAGACTATAGCTGCTCAGGGTTCCACGACTGGCATCATTTATGCCATGGTGACTGGCCCACTTCTTAACAACCAGAACTAAAGGACGAACGCGGCTCTCTACTGCAAAATCAGAGGGAGAAAGTCCAATTAGCTTCACTTACTACTAAGTACTGTAATATAAAAATATAAATACAATAATACAGGTTAAAATCACTGTTTTTTTTAAATCTGTATATCTACTTTACAATTGAACAAAAGGCAGAGTAGCCTGCAATTTTACAAACACAATCATTTGGAACCTCCCAATTTAGAAGCCCATAAGCAAATGAAGACCAACACCTAGGTCAGGGGTAGTCAAACTCCGGCCCTCCAGCTGTGGTGAAACTACAAATCCCATGATGCATCTGTCTCTGGGAGCCATGTCTGTGGCTGTGAGAATCTTGCAATGCCTCATCAGATTTGTAGTTCCACCACAGCTGGAGGGCCGGAGTTCGGCTACCCCTGACCTAGGGTCACATTTGAAAATGGCTGAGCACCCCGGCTCTGGTTATTTCAAAAAGTGACACATGTAATTATTAGAAGTGCACCAAAATGGAAATCTAAAAACCGACATTTTAAAAAAATGTCAGGCTGAAACCGAAAATGTTTTTATTTTAATTTTCAAACTTTATTTTATTTATTTTTTATAAACGTTTAAATTTAATATTTATTCGTTTTTATTTTGTACTTTACTTTTGGGGGCTTTGGGGAAATATTAGGGGTCTAAACAGATCCGATATTTCCCTTTTAAAATAGAAAAAGATTTTGAGGACAGAGTCCTCAATCTCTTTTTCTGCAACCCTTGTTATCAATGAACAGGAATCCTATACTGAGTTTTTCTGTTCATTCATAAACATGAGGACAGAGTATGGTTACCACAATCATGAATCGACAGGAGGTGATGTAGATCACTCCCATTCATTCATAATTGATATAGTAACCATACTCTGTCCTCAATTATCTACAAACACTCAGCGATCATTGATCATCAAGTGTTTGTACCTAGCTCTCCATCCTGACAGCTGTCACAGGAGACAAAGCGAGCGGTGCAGGGATGAGAGCTCAGCCTCCTGTGACAGCGCTGGCTGTCTCCGCCCACACACCGCTCTGCCGATCTGTGATAGGATGCTGAGCAGTGTGGGAGGAGAGACTGCGGCCACTCACATCGCTCTCCTCCCACAGTGCTCAGCAGCCTATCACACTTTCTCTCCTCCGCGCTGGGACACAGAGCAGCGCTCAGCGGGGAGGAAAAAAGTAGGGATGCGCCAATGTATCGGCACAAAAATTGCACTTTCTGCATTTAGCCAAAAGTGCAATTTTCGGCCGATATATCGGTGCATCCCTAGTAATTATATCACCTTTGGGGTTCGACTGAAGTTTCTGTTCAGCAATGTATTTACCATTCAAATGCATGAAGTTGTGCTTGAATTGAAAACAGTGTTTGACAAGAAAAGGCTGCATTTGACCTGCTTAGGAAACAGTGCAACATAAAGTAGGTGAAAAGCAGCCTCTGAACTGTCATGTGTACTGTTCTATTAAAAGTCAACAGGATTTTGTTGACCTGCATTTGACATGTGTTCCAAATGCACGTCAAACGAAGGGGCGGAAGGGGGGGGGGAACACCCACTAACAGGAACCCTTACTCACTTTTACTAAGAGGAAGAAGAACTTACTGTGTGCATAGGTTCGGAGAAGGAATGTGTTTCTGATTCCTACGACATTGTTTACATTCAAGTCAAACTCCACACCACTAGCAAAAGAGAGACACAGGTAAGTTTGGCACTATAACAACCCATTTTACTGCATGACACTGATTTGTAGCCAAAGGTTCATATGTGTACATGAAGACTGAGTGGTATAATGTAATATGTCCAAAGCTTGGGGAACAGTTCTGTTCAATGTGATAACCACAAAGCATGCATGTTTCTCTCTAAGCCACAGTATAGCCAACTCTGTGCACCTCTGTGCACTATTTGCAGCATTGCAGATAAGACTGCAGGCCTGCTTTCCAATATCAGAACCCTAATGTTTTGCTTTAAAGAAGTACTGTCACCTGTCCAACCAGGGAAAAATTACAGTTTGTCCTGATAACTCTCCCGTCCTCCCAGCAAAGTATACTCAATTGATCTGCATTCCCTTTGCCACCTACCCACTGCAGGAGTACACCCTGGGTAAGATTCAGTTACCTGGGTGGATGAAGTAACTGGCACTCCCCCAATAGGCCATGTTTAAGCCTGGCAATTGAGAGCTCAGGCCTGAGTACTGTGGGCAGAGTGGAGGGCCCCTGCTCCTCCATACCAAGAAGCCCTGCTCTGGTAAAGCAGTGGGGGAGCAAAGACTGGTGAGTAATCCTTACTGGAGGAAGGGTTCTTATCAGACACAATGAATCTGCCCTGAACGGGCAAAGTAGTTAAAAAACAAATCCTGGCACATAAAAAAAACAAAACACAAAAAACAATGATAATGTAAGGCGAGTTAGGGACAATGAAAAGACAACTCTGACCAAAATACAGATACAGAATGAGACTGCTGGTTAGGAAAACACTTTTGTCAGTTAAAGTGGAACTAAACCTTTCTATGATCCTATCCCCAAAGAATGGGGCCATCTAAGGCCCCATTCACACTGAGCGACGAGCGATATTGAGCGACTTTTTCCTATTGGGCTGTATGCAATAAGGAGCAAAATCTCTCGCAAAAAGGGTCATGTAGGAGCTACAAGCGATATTGAGCGACGAGCTGTGAAGAGCTCCATTGAAATGGATTGATGAAGCTACATAGAGCGATATCGCATGGAAATATGAGCGATAACTCTGCAAAAATCGCTCCATAAATCGCTCAGTGTAAATGGGGCCTTAGCCTCCACTTAGATCTGCAGTTCCCATGATGCTGCACACATGACCAGCTTTCACTCCCCAATTGGAGTGAAAGACTCCTTGAGAGCTGACAAAACACACCGACAACTGTGTAAGCTATCACCTTGAATGCAGCACACACTACAAATGTGCGACTAGACAGAATGTATAGGAAGGAAGGGGTAAGGGGATGGGAACAAAGAGTGAGCTTAATGTTTAGCTCAGCAAAAATATTTCTCCACTAATGCAGCAGAATAAAAAGAATAAAAGCATTTTAGCATTTTCCCTTCTAGCAGTCAGCTAAAATAGAGGTGCTTGAAGTGAATACCAGTGTGATGGCCTCTTTACTAAGCTGATTGACAATTTGTCACTACAGTTTTAGAACACTCTTAGGGCTCATTTCACAAAGCTAACACACCAGAAACCTTTATAAAAAAAAAAAAAAAAAAAAACAAATTAGTCTTTAA